TTAGATCTAAATAGCTAGTAATGAAGAAAAATTACTCTCATGAAAACTTCCTTCTAACGGTTTCAACGAGCTCTTGCCATGACGTAATGTGCGAATCATTGAACTCAATTGAAGCTTTGCTCGAGAAAACTTCGCCTTGAACGGATACGTTTCTAACACGAGAGCAAGAACAAACCAGAGAAACAGATAACGTGTGACTTCTCAGATATTGATCAAATTCCGGTTTAAAAATTGACTAACAATATCAGGTCATCAACAGCCAATTTGGGCACTATTACGACATTGCACACGTAATGTAAAAGTTTACGAGACATTTGCGCGCGCTATTGTTCCCTCATACTTCATTTTTTTCTCTTTTTTTCATGTAAATCACGGGCAACATATGTTATTCACCAAGCGGGAGGTCCGTATTGGGAAAACTGAGCTCGAAGGTCTCGGATGCTACCCAAGGCCGCCACAATTGTTATCATGGCTAGTAAAGCGTCGCTTATCATTTCAACATTGTTTTTTTCCTTTAAACAGCACATTGCTCTATAGGTGCATCGTGTTTAAGCAATGCTCAATGTAGAGACCATAGATGCCGATGTAAGCCGGGCTTGGTCGGAGATGGAATTCATTGCACACTTGGTAATGACCTATTTGTCTATAGCCTTCAGAGCGGGCGTAATTTTGGCGAGCGAGTGCTTAATATCCTTTGCGACAAGTATGGCCGCCATCTTTGATTTCAATGGCGGCGGTAGGCTGAGGAGAGAAAATAATTTGTGCCAGGGGGGTGAGTGACGGTCAAAAATAAGGAGAGAGTTGTGGGTGGAGGAGTGAATATTACTTTTCGCCTTTCCTCCCCCTCCCCCCCCTTCTCCTTCCTGTTGTCTCTATCTCCAAATCAAACATGACCGGTTGCATAAACGATCTCGAGCTTCTTAAAAGTTAACTCGCCCTGATAAGACCCCTGCACTGCACGCTAATTTGTTTACTTCATTTGATACTTGCCAAGCTCCGGATCGAAGACACGTGGTCTCGATCACTAGTTGGATCTAAACGGCGGAAGGGCGGAAAGACAGAATGGCGGAAAATTACCCCATATCCTAAAAGACGGAATGGCGGAAAATCACCCCAAATCCTAAACGACAGCCAACATAATGTGACACATTACGAGCCAAGACGATTTTTGTTTTAGTATTGATTTCATTTCCGCGGAAGTTGTCATCATGAGGGGAAGAAAGGACGAAGAAAGATCTCATTTACTTACGTACACGACCAGAACACCGCTACGATATAGCAAAGGATCAGACAATAATGAGTGGGAAGTGTGTACCATTATTCCGTCTTTTAGAATTTGGGATGATTTTCCACCATTCCGTCTCTTAGGACTTGGGGTAATTTTCCGTCGTTCCGTCCTTAGGATGTGGGGTAATTTTCCGCCGTTCCGGCTTTTCGGGCCACCCCTATCGTGTTGTGCTGATGAAAGGAGTACAAAGACCTTATGCCCATCTCCTCCCCTCCTTGGATCAGAAATAAATAGTGAACTCCTGGGGATCGAAGATGCAATTAAGTCACCAAAAGATATCTGCAGAATTCTGCCGTACAGCACATTATTTTTTAATTATAAGTAGCGTTAATAATTCGAATCAAATAATCAAGGTTCACTTATTTTGTTAGCTAACTTGGTCTTATGTTTTCATTTCAATCAGGGAAGCCGGCGAACTGCTCAAAGGCCAAAGATTGTGATAAAAACGCAGTTTGTATGGATGGAGGATGCCATTGTTTGGGCGAATTTATAGGAGACGGCAGAATTTGCACTCGTAAGCGACATTCGCTTTGAAATAGAGCGTGTTTCGATTGAGTATCGTGAAACGTTTGACAGCCGAGTTGGAGTAAACGAATTAATTTCCGAGAGCTTGTAGATCCGTGGTGCTGACCAGAAGGACCGAGAACAGAATTTGCGTAGGTTTTCAAGCATCGCAAGATTGATTGACAATCTTTTCTCGGAATCAGCAGATGATCAGAGATCGAAGTTCCATGATGAACCTAACGAAAAAAATGAACATGTATCCCTTCACAATATGATTGATTTCTTTTTTCAGGCAGAATTAAAAAACTTCATTGTAATACAGTGGATTTTTGCGGAGATAAAGGAATGTGTGTGGTTCACAAAGACCTTCCTAGCACTACCCTCTGTAAATGCCTGATTGGATACGTGTTAAACGACAAGCAAATGTGTGTCGGTGAGTCACCATGTGGGGCTGTAATACTAACATATTGACTGAGTGGGGGAGGGGAGGGTCGTAGGAGAAAAAATCTGGCTAAAGGTAAGAATCGAGAGCCAAAACTTTTCTTGTTCAGCCCAACCTAACTCAGCCATTAGGCATTTTATCGCGCGCGACCGTTGCTCCTCCCTCATCCTTCTTTTTGCTCGCTGTTCGCGGGGCCTTGTGGCTTTTTTCAGCCCTGCGGCCAACATACGGAATTTTGTCTAAAGGTTTTCTCCGAATTTTAAGGCGAATTACAAACAATCTAAAGCTTCTTTTTTTTAATAATTTTTGCGGCGCGCTGAATGAAACGTTTAAAGAGGACTAACTATCGTTGCCGTTATTTTTCATTATTCTCATCACTTGTCTGTTTGATATTGTAAAGAAAAATTCTATCTTGGTCACTTGGAGTACTTACAGGGTTGAGGAAGATAATTTAAAGATCTGAACGGGTAAAATCTTTCAGTGCAGAGATTCGTTAAGGATTATGGCCTTAATTCTTATGTTTCAGCGTCAAACATACCATGTACAGACGACAAAGATTGCTCTTCTAAGGCCAAGTGCGAGCATGGACTATGCGTTTGTCAAGGAAACCGAGTGGGAAACGGCCGCGAATGCAGAGGTAACCAGTCAAGTAGACAAAGAAGAGCGATGTACTGATGCTCATCGTCGGGTCTCTGATGCTCAGTGCTGCCTTGCGTCAGGGCGGGTAATCCGAGGGTCTGAGGTTTAATTCTGCACGGGGAATATTTCCTTTGTCTCACTTTTATGACATAACGATAAAACATCTCTCTCATTTATCAAGATAACGTTCTCCATTTCGAGTCTCATGAGGAAAGAAATGTGAATTTTGCATTTTTTAGACGCCAAGCCATGCACAGGGAAGCATAATTGTCTCGGAAGTAGTAAGTGTCTCGTTGATCCAGTGATGCCAGGAGAGAAACTCTGCAAATGCCCACCGAATCAAGTTCACCAGATTGCCTCTAACAAAGAATGTGTCGGTAAGTTCACTTTTTGATTGATATAATTAATTTATACTTGGGCTTTTAGAGATATATGGGGAAGGGTACAGTGCTCTGAGGCCAGAGAATTTAATTGTCGAAAGTCGGGAACCAATCTAAGTAAGTTTTGATTAATGTGTATCAATATTTAATACCTGAGAAAGGGACATTCCCTTAAATCCAGCTAGAAGGCCGGTTTTCCTTTTTTTAACTTCAACAATGCAATCTTGCCTAAACTTTCAGTTCGTGTTTATATTTTTAACAAAGGGCCTGTTCACATGGAGGTGGGGGACCCCAGGTAAGTGAGGTAACCCGCCTGTCCATATAATTTCTTATTTTATCTTGATCACGTTTAC